CGTACTTCGGGAACGCTGTTGATGTCATCTTTCGGCGTTGTAGTATACGCTAGATAGGATCTGCCACATGTAGTCTGGGCGCCGAGCGCCAATAGGATATCAACTCCGGTTCTTCGTTGATGATGATGGGACTCTGGTTCTTCATTGATGATGATGGGACTACTTCAGCATTGTCAATTAGGAAGTCTTGGTGTGTTCTTATTTGGTGTATCTCGTGATGCAATTCTGCTGTTGGTTCGAGGTCAAGACTATCTGGACTCATATGTATGATGCTCTTTGATTGCTGGAGTTCGCTATCACTCATCTTCCTTGCAACCTTCTCTCCGCAGTGGAAATTGGGATGCATGGTGCATGGACGATATTACACTCCACTCATAAACCACAGTGATCCAGAAATCGAGAAATGAAACTTCTGAGCACATGAATACTCTGAGAAATCTGAGCCCATGAATACTTCAGAACACAAACTTATGAGCACATGAATATCTGAGGAGTCTGAGCCCATTAACATTTTTTTAATTCTGAAATGGCATGAATAGTATTGAATACTGAAGAACACTATAAGAGGAAAATAAATAAACAAAGATAAACTTCAAGAGATCACACTCTAACTTCCCTTCAGGATATGCACTGCACAACCATAAATCTTGCCCGTGATCATTGAAAAGAAACTGAGCTGTTTCCCCCAGTCCTCCACGTGTTTCCCATCTCCTTAGCTGGCACACCGAGGAAAGTGGGACTTCCTCAGCTGAGAAACAAAGAAACTTTGAATCTCTCCCCCCCTTCCCCCTTGGCCTTTCCGAGCCTCCAACCATACAATGGGCATTTGATTGCGACAGTAAATGGTTTGGAAGTTGCAATAAGAAGATCGAGGGGGAAGGAAAAAAAGGTCGAGATCAGAGCGAGCTTGTTCATGCCAGCTCGTTTTCTATCTTCACTTTTTTTGGATATTCATCGCTCCTCGTCATTAAACAAGGGCAGGACAAACGGGCCTAGCTCAGTCGGTACACCCATGAACTGTTGAAATGCAGACCAGAGTTTGATCAACTGTTCATGGGTGTACCAACTGAGCTAGGCCCGTTGGTCCTGCCCGTGTTTAATGAAGAGGGGCGATGAATATCCAAAAGAAGAGAATATAGAAAATGAGCTGGCATCAGCTCTGGTGTTAAAAAAATGATGTATTCTTCTTGCCATGTCGAGTTGCATATCCCAATTGACTGCTCTATGACCCTGCCGTAGCCTGATCTTTCCGAAGTTCTTAGTCTCAGGATCATGCCAATATGACAGTCCCAGAGGCGCTACAACAGAGGGGAACTCCAGAAGGAAGTGGCTAAATGACAGTCAATCCTCACCCTGACGGATCAATCAGTGCTGTTCAGGGGTCGTACTCTGTAATCATATTTCACTTGCTGGTGGATAGGAACCGCACCGAAGCTCCTGAGACTGGACAAAAAGACTTGAGCCAAAAAAAAAAAAAAAACATCATAGATCTACAAACTATAGATCAGTGACACACCACTGCATCAGAACCTACCGATGTAAAGCAGCATGAAAATCCAGGGATGCATCACCTCTGGTGCTGAGAAGCGTCATATCATCCGATTCCCTTGTCATATCCAGTCTCAGATCCCAATTGCCTGCTCTCCATGCTGCTTCGCACTGAAAACGGGAGTCCAAACCACAGAAATTTACCAGTTCCCATCAAAACCTATAGCGAAAGGATAAAAGTGCACAAGATCTAGAGACAATGCACAGAAGCACATACATGATGATGTTTCGGTCCACCTTCCTTAACGAAATTGGTCATAATTCAACTAATTCTGCTATTTCTCTGAATTGTCTTTGATGTGCCAAAATGTTTTATTTTTCCTCCTCTCCTTTCTCTTTCCCTTCCGGGCTCGTTGCATGTTGTTAACGAGAGGCATGGCCCTGCCTGGCATCCATAGCCAGCATGATCTAGCTCAATACTGTCTTGTCATCAGTGCCGTTTGATGCAGGCTTCTCAGCAGCTAGGCGCCAAAGGGGACATAACATCATCTCACTTTCATCGAGTGCTTTGGTGTGACTCTCCGACAAAGGTGAGGTGTGAGCGATGCACATTGGAAGTAATCAAAAGGTGAACCATAAATCGATAGCATCGTTCATAAGAAACATGCATGCTGGCATAAACTCGCATTACAAAATTGTGATCTTTGTTCTTTGAAGTTTCACTCCTGGAGGGAGAACCATAGTTCGTTCTGGAGCACAAGCATGGAGAGTTGGTTCAGCTGAGTGATAACTTCACCTGCAATTCTGCAAACTCGGGATCTGTATCAGGCTCCTTTACTCGTGCAAATAAGCCCTGGCTGTACATGCCCTCTATGTGCCAGCATCCCATTTGTTGCAAGGATCTGAGCAACCCTTTCTGCATCCCCCAATCCCTCCTCTCAAAAGCAGATTTTGATTGCTTTACATTATCCAGTGCTTCGTTAAGCAGGCAACCACCTGGCGTCCCGAAACGTCTAGTTCCACACCCAGTGATGGGCTGTTCCACGGTCGCTACCCCTCCACAAAACCGAAAACCCTTCAATGCTTCCCTCCTCTTTGATCTGGAAGCCTGCAAAAGGAGATCATAGTTTTCCATCGCCTTGTCCCATCTTCCCTCATGCTCAAACAAAGCAAGTTGTGAAGCCACCTGCAACATGAAGATACAGAAACACATCATGATACCACCATCAAAATGATCTAAGTTCCGTGCTAAGCTATTAGTACGAGAGCTTGAATGCAGTCCATACTGCTGAATGTACTAGCAAAGTGCGGATATTTCTGTAAGATGCCAGACATCTGGTCAACATCAAACCCAGCCTGCCAAACATTAAGTTTCACAGCTACAGCACCGTGTAGCACGTCCAACCCCATGGGGCATCAAGAACAATAGGATCACAATGGCTCTTGTTCCATTAAGCAGTGAGGAGGATTAGCTTTTCTGCTGTGCCACCCTGCTCTGTCACCATCCCTACGCTTATAATGAACCCTACCACAGGAGAGAATTGAGTTCGGGATATCTGTTAAAATGGGAATGATATACCTTTCTCGGCCTTTTGGCTAAGATGAAGTGAAGTATCTGTTCTGATAAGTTTAATATCTGATCTGTGGTCCATCGGACCACACAATACTAAAATTATTTTTTCTGGGCCACGGAGGGGCCGTGCTGGTAAGCTTGCTTACTCGACCCCTCTAGAAGCAGCCCTCAAAGGAAAAAAAAAAAAAAAAAAAAGGCATGGCCCATGCGAAAGGGATACAGTGTGGACAACAAAATTGGCACTATGGAAGAAGATCGAGCTGCGGTGTCGTCTGCCACAGACTGCTGACACAGTTTTTAACCAGCTGCCGTTCGACAATAGATTCATTTGCCATGGGGTAAGTGACCCCTTCCCGTGGCAGGGCCCTCGAGGGGCATGTGGATGGAAATGGGCCAGGCACTGGTACGCAGGGAATTTACAAAGTAGGCCACCTGCGATGAACAAGACAAGGATTGGCGCCCTGATAGCGACATGGCCTGCATGGACGAATGACACGGGGCAAAGGGTGACAGAGCTGAGGGAGGCTATCCCCCCCAATTGGAAGGATCTGTTAAGAAAGGACGAATAGACTCCGGGGCGTAGGTGAAGATGAAGGCGGAGATGAGACCTCTACACAGTTCAGCGGGTATTGGCCGATGGGAGTATGGAGGCGAGCTCGGGGTATGAAGGACTGGGGGCACCCCTGCAGAAAGATGGTGTACACGAAGGAAGCTCCCTCAAAAAAGTGGATAGGAGCCTCGTCGAAACCGTGGGGGTATGCGAGGGAGGTCTAAAAAGGGAGAATCAATACCTGCCATACCAACTGGTGGTTAGGTGACAGGATCTGACCTGGGACCCAGCAGAGTAGGAATGGCCCACCCAGAAAATGCTGAGGAAGCCAGTACCACTCGCGTGGCATATACTCGCGTGGCATATAACTCGTCCATTCATCCGGCTATCGGGATGTCGCCCTTTAAGTTGAGCATGGCTCACCGGTCACTTCTCCGTTGAACACGATCATCCCACAGGCGACCGAGAGCGACGACCACCTTGTCTTCATTCGCCGGATGCAAGAGCTTCTTGTCAAGCCACACGACCAGATGTCGGAGACGCAGCAACGCATGAGCCAACAGGCCAATCGCCAGCGTCTTCCTCGTCCATTCAACGCCGGTGACCTCGTTTGGGTCTCCGCCACGGAATTCAGCCTCGAACACGATCTCTCTCACAAGCTCCTTCCAAAATGGATGGGGCCTTGGCACATTGTGGCTCCCGATGGGGATGCACCCGAAGGACCATTCGCCATTCAGGTGCCCGCCCACTTGCCCGTCTACCCAGTTTATCATTGTTCTAAGTTAGCTCTGTTCGTTTCCCGGGCGACGATTGCAAGACCCACCCTCCATGGATGGTTTTCAGGAGGGCAGCGACATCATCTTCCAGCGACGCTACGGCAACAAGCCGACCGGGTACTTCATAAATTTTTCTTATTGTAGCCATAAGGCTGACCGTTGGTTGACCCGTGCAGAACTTCAGACGACAGCCCCGGACGTCGTCGCACGTTACGAACAAGCTACAAGTCAAGCCGGAACCTTCGGCTCCACACCGTACTCGCGTCCAGGTTCCACCATCGGATCGTCAGCTTCGCCCTCGACCCGGCTTGACTTCCTAAGGAGAGGGGAGTGATACATGCTGAGCCTGCACACGCACCCCATTTTGGGGCCCGATGGTTGCTGGGGCCCCCAAGGCCGCACACCCTTCAGACACGTGCCCTGGAGGCCCACGGCTGGCCCTTAGGCCACAGGATTTGATTCGAGACAGCATTTATTTATTTGTTTATTTATTTGCTATCCTATTTTTGTCTGTTCAGGTGTTGTTTCGGACCTGCAGTCCCCAAGGCTGGTCGGGACCCAGACCCAGTAGGCCCACGTTTTGGGCACAGGACCGTAGGCACACAGAGGCAGACCAGCCGGCCCAGCGGTACGTATAGCTGGGCCACTGCTGGGCAGACGCACAGTTCGAGTAGCCCATTTCTTGGGCGACATGCTGCTGGAGCAACGCGACACAGCAATGCGCTGTAGAGGTAGAGGTGTAGGTACGAGGTGAGGCGGAGGCCATGCCTGCAGCGGCAGTACTTACCTGGGCGCCATAGCCGCGCTCCACGCCGGCGACCTGCACAGGGACCACGAGGGCAGTCAGTGCATGGCAGCAGTTACCTGCAGGTGAGACAGCGTTGAGGACGACATCTTCTTCTTCTTCTTTCTCTCGCCCTCCATCTTTTCTCCCTCCCTTCTTCTTCTTCTTCTTCTTCTTCTTCTTTCACACAGAGAGAGAGAGAGAGAGAGAGGTTACAGGATTTGATTCAACATTTTTGTGGCAGACGTTGATTGGACACTCGGCCGGGAGACAATGTTTGGACTTCGCTATCATGATCATGGTCTTCTCCCTCACCTTCATCTTCGTCTCGCCTGTCCCCCCATCTCTCATCCGTGGTATCCCCCCCATGTGTATCTCCCCCATGTGCATGTGCAAGGAGGGACCTTTCTCCCACGTATGCGGTCCCTCCTCCCTCTCTCACATGTGTCGTGTGTGATGGGTTGTCGCGTCAGTATCTAGTCTTCCGCTGCGCTACATTGTGCTATTTTCAAATGTATCTGGATGTACATTGCTTGTTGATGCTTTGCTGACGCTGCATTGTCCATTTGAGTCCTTTTCATCACTTTGCGGATCCTTGGCTCCATATACATTGCTCAACTGAGGATGTATCACCTGCCCTCTCAGGATTACCCTGCTGCGTGCCTGGGTGCTGCGAGCAGCCTCCTGACCTGCAAGGTAATCCCTGAGGTGTAGCTGTGGGCTGGTGCTGGGGTAGTCCATAGCAGCCCCCCCTTGCTTACGCGGCTCGTGCCACAACGGTATGGCTGTTCCTTTCTCTTCTCTTTTCTTTTCTCCCTCGTTGCTTGTAAAACATGCTTGCCGGTGATAAGCAACCGGACTGATGGCCCCCCAGAATAGAAGGGGCTGGGTGTTTTGGGGGAAAAAAAAAGAGAATGCCAAGAGCAATGAGACTGTGGAAACATGCCTGATGATGGCATGTGCTAGCACACAAGTATATCTTAAGCCACTAGTACCTTTGTCGTTTCCGAAAATAGCGGGCCTCCGACCTTTCAGGAGGCCGAAACGACGGCCGCCAATTAGATTTATCAATGGCAGCCATCGTCGGGCCCGGCCTCCAAATTCTTCCGGAACGGGCGTTTTCCCTCAATTCTGAAGCGGCAAAGGTACTAGTGGTTTAAGGCTTATGGATCAATGAAGAACAATTTTGGCTCACATCATATGCATGATGCATGGCAAAAACAAATCAACTGTGAAAGGTAAAATTGGAGGTCTGACCTTGTGAGTTCGAGCGACTGCACGTATACCATCAGGATCATTGATCTTCGTGTAAACACCAAGGAGAAGCTGCTCATGAAGAGGTATCTGGAAGACAATCATGAACAACTGAGACCCAGTCAAGGAAAAGAGCACATGAATGAACAGCAGAAAATTTATTTTGCAGAAGGGAGCCTGTTTGGAACAAGAACACCAGATCACTAGACAGGCAAGACAAGCACCTGTTTGAGGTCAACAATGTCTAACTACCATTGACGCTGGTCACAAACATACTGGCAGGTCGACCGGTCGACATTCAGTGGTCGGCAATTGACCAGCATCTGCAGACTCTGAAATGATGCCTGGTGCACGTAGGGGACATCACTGGGAAGGTAAAGCCCGTGAGTTGTGTCCATAAGGCTCTATACCATGCAGGCAGTTCAGGAAAAGAAGGTCAGGCCTTTCTGTCCAGAACATTCATCTTAGCTGAAAAGATCAAGGACAGAATTTGGGAAAACAAGGGACGGATGTTTTGTTCGCCTAGTGCCCCGTGATCCCCTCCAAGCAGCCGCAAATCCAAAGCAGTGAGTTCTTCTTGTTCTTCTTCCACTCCGCATTGATGGTTGCAAAAGTTGGACATAATATATCTGCAACCAATTGCACACTAGTCACACCTAAGCGGTTGGCAATCGGTGTACTAGGAAATTGGACAAAAACTACCTGTTCATCCCCTTACTTCACACCCTGGACCACCACTTATTTTGTGGGCTTTCCTTTCGGCTCTTCCTACTGACCAACAGAAAGGACTTACAGCAAAATGGCTCCAAATGGGTCAAATAATCTGTCATTGGCAGAAGCAGACAATGTGGCAGATAATCAAACCACCAGGCTATCATCTTGAAGTACGGAGTTCCACTCGTAACAGCATACAGAATTATGCACAGCATACAGGGCTGGAGAAGCCCAAGAATGGAAGTTCAGCTCGCATCACAAAGTACATCAGAATTATGCACAGCTCCCATTACACATCACCAATGATTAGTTGAACATTTCTGAAACAGAGTGATCCAGTCACCCAGCCACCCGTCCATCTTCAACCACAGTAGCAACAGACAATCAGTGATGGCTTTAGAATGTCCTACGATGTTCTAAGGCGTTTGAAATAGGGATCAGACCTGATCATCATCCGAGAAGTCAGGCTCACCAAGTATCAACCTTCCAAACTGTGATTCGTACCAATGTTCCACATACAGAAGGCTTGTAAAATATGCAGCGCATTTCTGCAAAATCCAACACAAGTTAATCCAAATTTCAGGATGCGTTTCTCTATATGATAAACTTTCTACAAAATCCAACAACCAACCACATTCCACTTTCTCGGGATAGAATAGCCATCATGTGCAAAGACTTGCTGATTCTGCAGCCTGCGGCCCGTCGAACTGAAGCTGCAACATAGGTAGGTTAGATTCGGAATTTTGTTTTGCTGAGGGCTAACCGAGATATCTGCCGGTGGAGAAAATTCATGAGGGACATATCTGCAAATTTGGGACAATTTCAGGCCCGTACTAACTCGAAACTGAAACAGTACCGGTCGGTCCTGTAGGGTCCAGGTTAGGTCTAAGAGTAGATCTATTAATTGAATGAGAACGTCTGTTCAGGGCTTTTGGCAGTTGGTACCGAGTACATCGCGGCTGCGCAACGCGTGAACTGGAGTGGTACAGCTTCAGCGTTGGAGGAGACAGACATAGCCCGACCCTCGAAGCGTCGGCCAAAGCTGGGACCTTCCCTGTTCTCTGACAGCACGCGGGGCTGTCTGACAGGTCTGGACTATCTGAGGTCTGCTGGGAGCAGGAGAAGTTGGTGCCCTGCTGAACCCTCCTCAGGAGTAGGGTTTCAGGGTAGTGGCGCTGCAGCCATAGCTGAAGCTTACATCCTCAGAGATCATCTTTGACGGGAGAGGTCTTCACCTGGGAGGTCTTCTGGCACTTTATCTTCATCAGAGACTGTGGCGCTGGTCTTCTTCTTCATCCTCTGAGAGGCGCTTGGCCTCAGAGGCCTGTTTCAGGGTGGCGCTTCCCTCAGGAGGCAGTATCTGGGTGGCGCTGGTTGTTTCAGGGACTCGGGGGTAGTGATAGCGGTTATTCAGGGCTGGGGGATGAAGCGATGCTCATTTCTGAGCAGCGCACCATGGTTCTGGGGTTATTCTGACAAAACGAGACTCTGAGTTTAATAAACAGTGTCGATACTGTGTGTAAACTATCTTTGCTTCATTGTTTTCTGGATGTGATCTACTCGGCTTTCCTTTGTGACTGGTTGTGAGGATTCTGTGGAGCGAATTGCACTTTCAGTGTATTCTGTCATATCGCATGGTTAAGTCTTCCGCTGTGTTTCTCTCTCCCTGTGCGGTGTGATACTCCCATCCTCTCCCCTTCCTTCTGTGTATGTATCGGCATACCTGGAAGTCTATGTGAGCGAGTGTTGGTCTTCTGACAACAAGCAACCAGGTTCACAACATCATGCACCCCCCAAAATTCAAAAGCCTGCAATGGCTAATCTACTACCTAGCTGTCCCAGTTAATCAATGGTTGAACATTAGAAGAAAACGAGAGGATAGAAACCTTAGTAATGAGTTGTGCGCCACTTGCACAGAAGGACAGGCAGAAAACCTGGTACACTGCTTCATACAATGTCCCAGATTACAACCAATATGGGAAGGAGTGGAAGCCACTTGGAAAAAAGTAACACACACAAATCTACCCGGCAGTCTTCCACTGATCCGACTCGGACTTGACAACACAAACACAGGAACAGTGGGAGAGAGAACCCTTTTCCACGCTCTGAGAAAAGCGGCACTATGGATCATACTGAGAAAGAGATGCCAAGAGACTGTCGATAAGAGTAAAATGCAAGTCCAAGAAGCATGGACTACAACGACAAGTATAGACGGAATACCGGGAAAAGATGGCAGATAATGAAGACAAAGCTACAGAATACCAATGCAAATTCGAAGAGAACCAACTAGCAAAGGGGAAAGTTGTGGTCATCGGGGGCACTAGTCTAGTCTTCTCACTCTGGGAGGCAAGACAGAAAAACAACGCATTCAACATATTTTCAGTTTAACACCACCACAGACAGTAAGGGGGAAAAAAAAAAACACCAGTTAATCCAAATTTCAGGATGCATTTTTTTTATTTATTTTTTTTTCCAAACAAAACAACTGGGAACCGGGCCCGGAATCCCTTACATTTCAATGCCAGGAAACGAGCCTGGCGTCCCTTACAAAAAAAATTGCGGTCCTGATTTAGGGTGAGACATCACCGGTCATGCCCTAAAACTGGACCGCAACACACCACAAACCCTAGGCACAAAAATACCACCGAAGAAAGCAAATCAACCAATGTCTATCTCTCTCTCTCTCACTATATATCGTCAAATAGAACTGCCCGGTAAACCGTAGGCAGAGAGGGAGAAGAGGACAACAAACGAGGGGCTGTGACAAACTGTTTATATATATCGTCACATAAATATCAGAGCGCAAAAGCAAAAAAAAGGAAAACAAAAAAGATATCAATTCATTTTTTATCTTCTTCCTTACAACTCCCCCTGTTCAGAACCTCATGCATACAAGGCCGCCCACATGGATGTAGGTTGAGCGGAGGCTGCCCCCACCCACGTGTGTCATATCGACCCACTTGCACAGAGCCAAAAGGCAAAGAGGCAAAGAAAAGAGGAAGGGAACAGCCAAATAAAACAGAACAGGGGGCAACAAAACAAATCCCAGATGACAAGTCCCCCATGCAAGCACCGCCCCTGCACCACAGGCCAAACGACGGGACAAGACCAACCAGGATATCAAAACATTCATGTCTGCAAAAAAATCAAAAAAAGCTCCGGTCCACAGTGTAACCACCAAAAAGAAAGAGAAGACAATCCCGGATGACGATTCCCACATACAAGCACCGCCCCGCGCTCAAAAGGCCGAACACCGGGAAACAACCAACCAGGATGCCCAATATACAGAAATGAAGCAGACAAGATTCACAATATATATATATATATATATACTAGGCTGGGCCGGCGCCCGGCCGGGCGGACCCCGGCCGGTTGGGCCCGGGGGGGTCCGTCCGACTGAACCGGGCGACGCATAAAAGTAGCAAGGATTTTTTATTTTTTTTTCGATGGTGGGGTTGTGCTGCGCTGCACTAGAGGACCCCAAATCTGCAATAAAAAGTGAACTTGGGGGGTTGGGGGGGAGGGGGGGCTGGGGGATGCCGTGGGAAGCGGGGGGTCTCGGGGGGGGGTTGGGGTCTAAGGGATGTCAGTGGTGATGTCACAGACCTTGCAGGTCTGTCTGTGGAAGAAGAAGAAGAACAGGAGGACGACGACGACGACGACGACGACGAAGAAGAAGAAGAAGAAGAAGAAGAAGAAGAAGAAGAAGAAGAAGATGATGATGATGATGATTGGCGGTGGAGGATGGCGGGCAGGGGATGAGAAACAACGGCGGGCAGAGGATGGCAGGTCGGGGATGAGAAACACGCGCGCGCACGAGGCAGAAAACAAAAAAATAAGAAAAAATCGGAACTGGTGGTGGCCGATGGCGGGCAGGGGGGCCAAGAAGAAGAAGAAGAAGAAGAAGAAGAAGAAGAAGAAGAAGAGGACGAGGAGGAGGAGGAGAAGAGGAAGAAGAAGAAGAAGAGGAGGAAGAAGAAGATGGAGAAAAAGATGGGAGGGGGGTGCGAAAGGGTGGGCGAGAAGAAGAAGAAGATGAAGGTGGTAGATGGGCAGGGGGTGAGACA